TGTATGTATTTCTGTGTACGCATGCATGTTCATTCCTCCTAAATGTACTCGTTTAGAGTATAGTTTTAGCTAATGAGTTGTCTTCGCTCGTTTGCGTGATTAGTTGCAAGGTTGGTACCCCGCTCTGACGATGTCTGCCAAATGGCTTGACAGGCGAAAGGTTGGCACGTTTTCACCGTACTCGAGAGGGATTGCCTCGAGGACAGCGTCAACTAGAATATTCCAGTTATATCAGCTTGTCAATATGAATGTGCAATCGTTTTTTGGTGTGATCAACTTTTGATTCTCATAATCACACTTTCACTTGAAGTGAAAATGAACTCAACACTTGTAAACCAAGAGAGTTCTCAGAACTCAATTTTTCTTCATTTAATAAGGAGAAACCGACCTTAATTCCCATTTACCCTTTAAGTATAGTGAAGACTGTTATTGCACATATTTTTCTTTAGATAGTCTGATGATTGCAGTCTGTATGACGCTAGATGAGAATGTCTAGGTCTGCCAATTAATTGGAATTTCTTTTGGTCTTTCTCTTTGAAATGTTTCATTATCACCTGATTTTTCTTCCCTAATAACTAACTTTTGCCATGCGTTCTCCAGCACGGACACAAAGCTTTTTCTTGCTATTAGCGTAGTATTTTTTATCACAGTTAAATCTTGATCAGCTGATAGCATTAAAGTGGGCCTGAATGAGCGTTAGGTTATTGGCCAGGTTCGTGATAACCTTGGTTGTTTGCTGCAGCAACACTAGTCTTTCCTATGTAATCACAAAGTCGAGAGCTACCATCTGGAGTCAGGCAGTACATTTGTGTAACTTTGTTCGAGCTATTTGATCTTTGACTATGACTTAGATATATCAAGAAGTTTCTGCAAAATATGTATAGTTTATTCCTATATCTTGCCCTTAAAATTCGTCTCTACTTGCTTAGAGGTTTTAGCATCCTTCATTATACAACACTTAGACTCTTGATAAACCCTTTTCATTGTATCTTCAAGCCTGTAAATATGGTGAGGGTTCATATTAAGTTTGATTAATTGGCCATGAAAAATTATTAAGTTTCATTTCACGACATTGGTGCCGAACGATGGATATTCTATAATTTGAAGCAAACAAACGAAATAAATTCTATTTGCCAGCTTTATAATCGCTCATACGATGTGCCTATGCACCAAGTTAGAGATGGCTGTCTTATTTTCTCTACTGATATTAAGGGCTATTTCATTGTCTAAATCTTTTTTTAATTCCATATTATAGTGATCGGTATTGATACAAATAATTTCGTTGGACCTCAATGAAAGATTTCTTTTTTCTACTGTGTTACTCCACAATTTTATAGAATCCGTCTTTTTAGTACACAAGATACTCATTTCTGCTAAGAATTTAACTACAAGATCAGGCTTCACTGGGTTTGATCTCATCAATCGAAAAAGGCGATATATTCTCTCCGCTTCTTTGTAGCCCCTTTTACTTGTGATGGACATCCTCATTTGGATAATGTAAGCAATGACTAACTGCTTTGATCTTATCTGCGTCTCATTTTCTTATCATAAGACAATCCTTAATGCCTTATTCAACTACCACCTTTAACTCACTAGGGTGAATACAGCTTTTACACTTAATTCCTAATGTTTACTAGAACATATTGTCCTTTTTAATCGTATTCAGGCGCACTTATCTTGCTCTCTTATTTTCTAAAGCTAACAAGCTTTTCTAGATCAATTAATACTCACATTAGCCCGTTTTTAAAATTTATACCTTGTCATCTGCCTCTACTATTCCTTCGCATTATAACATCCTCGTATAGCGTAAATTTAACTAGCTGTCCATTTACTACATACAAATCCTGTCCATTGCCACGTCCATACATTATTGCACATTAACGCCTATTCTCGTGCGTACGGTTTGGTGCATACAGGCCTGACTCGACAATCGAGGCCTGTTCATCTGCTCCACGGAGGGTCTAGCTGATAGGCCTGCCACTCCTATTTTCAGTTAGCCCAGCATGCTCAGTCCAGCATCTACCGTTTGCCTTCCCTCTCGATCGACTAGATCACCCCAGCCAGTTTGTAGGCTCGTAGTAGAATCAGTAGAGTTGATCTTAGAGAACATCATACCCGTCCTATAGTTGAAACCTTGGCTATTACTGAAGATGGATAGATAGAGGATGAGAGAGAGAGGCGACCGGATACCTCACTAACACCGAATAAACGAGGCAGAATCTCTTAAGACCCAATTAGTCATTCTAGCCTGATTTACAAGGTATCTCTGATCTATGCTCGACCTCCCTTGAATGTCTGCCTATATATCTGTCTGTCTACTGCTCTCCTGACTACGTTCTCCACGTTCGTATTCTCGCATCGCTTTGTCCGCATCTGTTTATTCTTGCGTTCTGGACAGTTCATCTTCTCCCATATGGGTCCATTGTGGGCTTGTACAAGAAACAGTTCATGAGAAGGCTATCTTGACTCAGTTATAGCTGTATTCGTTCTCCCAAACAGCATGGCATTTCTCTACCCCATCACTCTCCATTTTATCTGTCTAAGAGTTCCATCCAAACCTCGACTTAGGCTACCAGCTATGCGACTGACTGTAACTCTCTCGTCAGAGGGCCTTCATCCTTCCAGGGTTGACCTGGATTACCAAAGCCTTGTATTTTTCATCTCTCTCTCTCTCTCTCTCTCTGCATCTTTCTCATACTATATCTCTATCCTTCCTCTGCTCACCACCGACCGGCACTGGTTCGACTTGTTTATCCTGTCTCGAGTCTCAAGTCTCGACCGGACGACCCATTCAGCTGTGCTTACTCTCTTTCTGGCCATAGAGGTGAATGTTTGTGTGCTCTAAATGTTTATATAAGGTTCTTGAGCTATTCGCCTGTCTTATATGCTTCCCATGTTTATACAACTAGCCTGCCTGTGTTTGAGTCTGATCTCTCTGTCCCCTTGCTCTATTTAGGATCTACCTTTCCCCATCGCCATCTACAATTATACACCATTCCAAATTAATGGCTCGTTTTGAGAAAGCGCTCTAACTGCTCGGCTATCCGAAGAATGTTACAGCTAATTAATACACGGGTCGATATTTAAATGACACAACATAATCATAATGCAAATGCTGTATGTCTGTGTTTGTGTTTGGGTGTGTCTTTATACAATTGTTGTATGGGATGTTATTTCGTTAGTGGCGTTTCGTCAACATATTAGGCACGACTTGAGCAGCTTGAAGGATTCATTTGCATAAAGTAAGATTGCTTACTCACTTCCGACTTTATACATCCTATGAGTTGTAGCCTAACCTGATTGCGCAATTGCCCACTACTTTCTGTGCAACATCAATGAGCTCTCACTTTCTTCTCTCTACCCCTGACTATGCAATACAGGATCCTAATCCACCTCTATTTTCATGTCTAAACTTTCTTGTCATTATTATGTAAAGTTAATCTCTAACATTCTGGATTTTCCCTTGAGGATGAAAATGCTTCTGAATATGCATATCATCGTTCCAATGTCACCACTTATTGATATTAATATTTTTAATATTGCTTTGTATCTTAAATCTGTTTAATAATACACGTAAACTCCTCAAAGACGGATCCCTTTACATTCCTATCTTTTATATCCTTAAAAGGTTATTGTGTCATAGCAACGTATATCGTAAGGGCTAGTGGCTAAGAATATGATTCCCCTAAGAAACTTGTCTTACTAAGCCAAAGTCTAGTGGTCATTGCGGCTTATACCAATTTCTCTGATCGGATTCGCAAGGGATTTCAACCTTTACATCAAACTAAGTCGTTTAATCAAACATTTTGCGACAGAAACTGCGTTCCCATTTTCGTTTATCGCGCATTTTCGAAATTTTTCAGGATCCCATGATGACTGGCTAACTTATATGTAACACCGCATAACCTGGATTCTCTTCTCTATTCTTTCTTTGTCTGCTTAGACGATTTATTTTAGTCTAGCAACCCTTTTGGACAGCAGCTTAATAATTATTATTATTATGAATAAAAACATAGCACAAGTCTGCATGAATGCCCAATTTTGAGTAGGGAGGTAAACTATCGCCTAGCTATTGAATATTTTACCCATCAATTTTAAATCACATTCTTCCGTTTTCGTGCGTTCAAATTGATTTGTCGCTTAGCTGGTTAGTATTGAACTAGTTACAAGAGCCCAAACAGCTGGTGCCCGTGATTAATGCTTTTACAAGCCTAAATCATGCATATAAGTATGGCTAAAAACCCCTGGAATATAATATGTAAGTAGATATGAAATAAAATGGATGATTATATTGATTTTTTGAGCTAGCTTATGA